TCCTTCCTTTCCCCCCAAAAAAACCTCAAAAATGCGATTTTTCCCCTCCTTCACGTTTTTCCTTCACTTTCCCTCTCCCCCCCAAAAAAATCCAATTTTCCCCCGAATTTTCCCCTTTCCCTCCATTTCCCCCCCCAAAAATCAGATTTTTTCCCAAAGTCCTCCTTTTCCTCTCTTTTTCCCCAAAAATCAATATTTTTTCCTAATTTCCCCCTTTTCTTTCCTTTTCCCTCCCCAAAAAAATCAGATTTTTTTTCCCTAATTCCCCCCTTTTCCTCCCTTTTTTCCCCCCCAAAAAATCAGATTTTTTTTCCCTAATTCCCCCCTTTCCCTCCCTTTTTTCCCCCCCAAAAAACCCCAAAAATCCCCGTTGTTGTTTTTATTTCCCCCCGCCCATCCCGGGCTATTTTTACCCCGAATTCCCTTTAAAAAAAAAGGGAATTTCGCCTTTTCTCCAACTGCGGCGCCATAAATTCGGGTCCGACGGCCCCGGAGCTTTCCGGGGACGTTTTTACGAGCAATTGATGCTCGCTCGTAAAATTTACGACCTCGGGGCTTTTTTTTTTTTTGGTGTTTCTCCTTTTTTTTATTATTATTGTGGTTCGCCCCGTTTGGCCTGGAAAAACGGGTGGGAAAAAGGGGAAAAAATAGGGGGAAATGGGGAAAAATGGGGAAAAATGGGGGAAAAGAGGAAGAAAAGGGGGGAGAAAAGAAATTGGGAAAGGGGGGGAAAGGAAAAAAAAAGGAGGAAAATGGGATAAAAATGGGAAAATTTGAAGAAAAAGAGGGAATGGAGGGGGAAAGGGGGAGAAAAATGGGGAAGAAGGGTGGAAAATAAGGGGAGGGAAGGAGAAAAATGGGGGAAATGGGGGAAATTGGGGAAAATGGAGGGAAATTGGGGGAAATGGGGGAAAACGGGGAATATTTAAGAAAGGGGAGGAGGTGGGGAAAAGGGAGAATAAAGGAGGAATAAAGGGAGGGAAAGGGGAAAAAGAGGAATAAAGGCAAAAAAAGAGGAATAAAGGGGGGAAAAGAGGAAAAATGGGGAAAAAGAGGGGAAAAGGGGGCAAAAAGAGGAATAAAGGGGGGAAAAAGAGGAATAAAGGGGAAAAATGGGAAAAAGGGGGGGAAAAGAGGAAAAAAGGGGGAGAAAGAGGAAAAAATGGGGGAAAATAGGAATAAAGGGGAAAAAAAGAGGAATAAAGGGAATTAGGGGAAGGGGAGAAAAGGAGGGGGAGAGAAGGGGGGAAATGGGGAAGAGAGAGGGGAAAAGGGAGGAAAAATGCACAAAAATTCAAAAAGAAGCAGAAAAACCGCGGAGAAATCGGGGGAAAACCGTGGGAAAAGGGAAAATAAAGGGAAAAAAGGGGGGGGGGATGGGTTAAAAAAGGGGGGAATGGGTTAAAAAAGGGGGAGGAGCCCGGGGAGGGGGAGGGGCAGGGGGGGAAAATTCCCAATTTAACCAAAAATAACCCGGGGAGGGAATTTCCTCCTTTTTTAGCTCTTTCCCCTCCCTTTATCTCCTTTTCCTCCCTTTTTGAGCTTTTTCCTCTCTTTTATCTCTTTTTCCTCCCTTTTTTATCTCCTTTTCTCTTTTATGGAAGTTTTCCCTCCTTTTTAATCTCAATATTTTCTCTTTTTATCTCTTTTCCCCTCCTTTTATCTCCGTTTTTCCTCTTTTATCTCTTTTCTTTCTGTTTTATCTCCTTCGTCCCTCTTTTCCAGCTCCTTTTTTCCTCCCTTCCATCCCCTTTTTCTTCTCTTTTTAATCTCCATTTTTCTTCTTTTAATCATCTTTCCCCCCTTTTTTAATCTCCTTCCCCCTCCATTTTAATCTCCTTTTTTGCTCTCTTTTTATCTCCTTTTCCCTCTATTTTAATCTCCATTTTCCTTCTTTTAATTATCTTTCCCCCCTTTTTTAATCTCCTTTTCCCTCCATTTTAATCTCCTTTTTTCTCCCTTTTTATCTCCTTTTCCCTCTATTTTAATCTCCTTTTTTCTCTCTTTTTATCTCCTTTTCCCTCTATTTTAATCCCCTTTTCCTCTCTCTCTCCTCTCCCCCTTTTTCCCATTTTCCCCTTTTTTCTCCCCTTCCCGCCCTCTTTTACCCCATTTCCCCCCTCTTTAATCTCCTTTTCCTCCCCTTTTTTCCCCCCTCTCATTTTTCCCCAAAACCTCTTGAATTCCGGGCCGATTCTTGACTCTTTAAATTTCCGCCTTCACCCGGAGGGGGGATTAAAAATCTTTAAAATAGATAAAAAATCTAAAATAAATAATTTTAATTTTTTTTTTAAATAGCAAAAGAGTATAATAAATTATTCTGAATTTTTAAAAATATTTAAAAAATATTAAAAACAGAGGAAAAAATAGAAAAAAAAAATGAAATAAAGGATTAAAAGTAGGGAATAAAAGGCGGAGAAGGGGCCGGGGCGCTCCCGAGCCGCGGAATTCCCGGCGCAGATTCCCGGGATTTTCCGCCCCCCTCCCGTCCCAAATCTGGGATTTTTATTTTTTCTGGGGGCGTCACGTGCAGGGGGCGGCGGCCGCTCCTCAAATCCCTGACCCCAGGCTTGGGGGTTTATTGCTTTTTTTCTTTTTTGGGGTTTTTTTGCGGGGCGAGGCGGCAGCGGCACCTAGCGCTGCTCGGCGGCACCGCCGATTTCTGCTTTTTTCGCTCATTTCTCCCCTTTTTCGCCTTCTTTCTTCCTTTTTTAACTTCTTTCCTGGTTTTTAAAATTATTTTTGATTTTTGCCCTTCATTTCAGGGCGCGTTTCTTGCGCGTCTCTGCGCGGGGTTGTTTTAAATAGCGAAATAATTTGAATTAAAATTGTGTATTTTCCCCCTTTTCCTTTTTTTTTTCCTTTTATTTTCAAAGGTTTTTATTTTTTTCTCTTTATTTCCTTTTTCTTCCGTTTTCCCCTTTAAAAATTTTTCTTTTTTTTTTCTTTCTTTTCCTGTATTCCCTTTTCTTTCCTTATTTTAATTTTTCCCCTTTCCTCCCTTTTCCTTCCCTTTCCCCCCATTTTATTCCTCTTTTCTCCCCTTTTCCTCCCTTTTCCCCCTTTTTTCCCCTTTTCCCCCATTTCTCCTCTTTCTGCCACCCCCTCTTCCCAGCCTTTTCCTCCCTGAATAAAAACCACCCAAAAATTGAAATAAATGAAATAAAACCTCATTTCCCCTGGCCATTCCGGGATATTTTTGGGCCGCTCCCAAGTTTACATTCCTCGGATTTTTTTAATTTTTAATTTATTTATTTATTCCCTTCTCGCCTTTCCTCGGTTTTTTTTTAATCCCTTTTTTTTTTTCCTTTTCTCTTTTCCCACAATTTATTGCCTCCGGCTCCTCCTCAAAGCGCGGGGGGGGAGAAAATCCTGGGAAAAATCGGAATTTCCGACCCCTCCTGCCGCTCCTTCCTGGCGCTTTTTTTTTTTTTTTCTCCCTTTTTTGGGGTTTTTGGGGGTTTTTTTTTTTTTTTCTCCCTTTTTTGGGGTTTTTGGGGGTTTTTTTTTTTTTTTCTCCCTTTTTTGGGGTTTTTGGGGGTTTTTTTTTTTTTTTCTTTTTCCTCTTTTTTTGGGTTTTTTGGTGGTTTTTTTTTGTCTTTTTTTTGCATAAATTCCATCCTGGAGAGAAGCAAAGGATGGGAGGGGGAAAAAAAACCTCCTCAGGCTCCTTTTATTAGGATTATTTCCCTTTTTTTATGATTATTTTCCTTTGTTTTACGATTATTTCCCTTTTTTAACGATCATTTCCCCTTCTTTTACGATTATTTTCCCTTTTTAACGATTATTTCCATTTGTTACGATAATTTCCCTTCAAAAACCAACAATTTCCTCTTTTTTTACCATTATTTCCTCTTTTCGTGCCTTTCCCCCCCCTGCTTTGAGTCACTTCACCGCCAAATCCTCGCTGTTTCCTTTAGAAGATAAATCTTATTTATTTATTTTTATTTTTATTTTTTTCCCAGGGATTTCTCACTCCGTGACCCCCGGAATTCCCAGAAAATCTCGGAAATACGACCCAAAAAAGGAGGAAAAATCAGCTTTTTATCCCTTATTTCGCCCCCCGCTGTTAAATCCACAATTTCCGATCTCCTCAAGGGTGAGGCTCCGGATAAAAAATGCTAAAAAAATGCTAAAAAAAAGATAAAAAATGGCATTTCCCCTCCCCCATTCCCTGGAGAGGTTTTTATTGGGATGAAATCGAGGGAAAAGGGGTGGGGGAAAAGCTCCGGGCGCAAAACAAACCCACAAAAATCATTAATTAATTAATAAAGCCCACATCCATCACCAATAAATCACCAATAAATCACCAATAAATCATAAATAATAAAAGAGAAGCCGAACTTTTCACCCCCCGGGGGAGGAAAAGAGAAAAAAAGGAGGGGAAATAAGGAATGGGGGAACTTTGGAAATCCACATTTCTTTTTTTAATCGTGGAAATTGAAATTCCCGCTGCCGCCGCACAATTACACGAGACTCGCCCAAGGAGACAAAGCAAAAAATATCTTTTTTTTCCCCTTTTTTATCCTTATTTCCCTCCTCCTCTTTATTTTTTTCCCATTTTTCCCTTTTTTGGGGGGGGGAGGCGCAGGAGAGAGGAAAAGACGAGACCAGGGAGGGGGGGAGGCGATTTTTGGGGAGGAAAGGCGAAATAAAAAACGAATTTTCCAGCACAAGGCTCCCACTGAAGCTCAGAGGCCGCTGGGGCAACTTTCAAAAATAATATTCCGATTTTATTTCATTAAATACTCGACAGAAAGTCCAGGCCGGACTCGGGGCTTTATACATGAGAGGGTGTAACACAAGATTTTTCAATTTCATTTATTTGTTGAACATTTTTCGCCGCTTTTTTTTTTTTGCTTTTTTTTAGATTTTTATTATTCTTTTTCTTTTCTCTCTCTACCTCTATGAACTCCATTCACTTTTTTTTTTTTTTGCTTTTTTTTAGATTTTTATTATTCTTTTTCTTTTCTCTCTCTACCTCTATGAACTCCATTCACTTTTTTTTTAGCTTTTTAATTTTTTTTTCCCTTTTTTTCGCACATTACAGCGCTAAACATAAATATAAATACAGGAACCACGAACACCGAGAAAAATATTCACACAGAAACCGTCACAGTTTGTGGATGCGGTGATGAGCCCAGGTAGCTGCTTAAATACGAGGAGGAAAAAAGGCGATTTCGGGCCGAAAAAGCGCTTTTTTTATGGCATTTCCGCGAGGAAAATCTGATTTTTTCCCACCGGGAATGGCTGAGGTTTGGGAGGACAAGCGGGGGGCGGGGTCGCCCCCAATTCCGCCCGGTTTTGCCCCAATTTTTGCCCAGTTTTTTGCCCGATTTTCCCGATTTTTGGGGTGGGGGGAGGACGGAGCGGGGGGTGCGGCCGGGATGAGGGGGCGAGGGGGGAGATTTTGGGGGGGATTCGTGGGTTTGAGGAGCTCTCTCATGAATTAATTAATTCATTAATTAATTCCTCCTCATTCATTCACTCATTTCTCCGCATTAATTAATTAAATTCTCCACATTCATTCCTCTGCTTTCACTCCTCCACTTTTTTTTTTTCATTTTTTCACTTTTTAATTTTTTCCACTTTTTCATTCCTCCACTTTTTTAATTCCTAAACTTTTTTCTCCCCCTCACTTTTTCCCACTTTCCCACTTTTTAATTCCCCTTTTTCGCTCCTCCACCTTCGCTCCTCCGCTTCAATTTCACTTTTTCGCTCCTCCGCTTTTCCCCCTCTTTTTCATTTCCCTTCCTCACCCCACCCTCACCCCGCCTCGCCCTTTTATTTTATTTCTTTTTAATTTTCCCCACTTTCTCCCTCTTTTTCACTTCTCTCCCTCACCCCACCCTCACCCCGCCTCGCCCTTTTATTTTATTTCTTTTTAATTTTCCCCACTTTCCTCCCTCTTTTTCACTTCTCTTCCTCCCTCCACTCTCACCCCGCCTCGCCCTTTTATTTCATTTATTTTTAATTTCTTTTCCATTTCCCCCTCCCCGCCAACACTTTTTTCAACATAATTTTTAATTATCATTTTTTTTTCTCCAACGATAAATACCAGGAAGGACAAAAAGGGGGGAAGAAAAGGGATGAGAAGGGAGGGAAAGGGGGGCGAAAAAAAAAATCCATCACTCCTTCTTCTCCTCCTCTGTCTCATCGCGCTTCTCCTCCTTGGCCAAGCTGTCGGCGGCCGCCGCTCCCCCTCCTCCTCCTCCTCCTCCTCCCTCTTTGATTTTGAGGGGTTTAGCTCTGATTTTGAGGGGTTTCTCTTTGATTTTGAGGGGTTTGGCTTTGATTCTGAGGGGGTCTATCTTCGATTTTGAGGGGTTTAGTTTTGATTTTGAGGGGTTTAGCTTCGATTTTGAGGAGTTTAACCCGGGTTTTGTGGGGGTTCAGCCCAGATTTTGCAGGATTTAGTCCAGATTTGGAGGGGTTTAGCCCGGATTTTGTGGGGTTTTAGGCCGTGTTTTCAGGGGTTTGGCCGAGGTTTTGTGGGGGTTCAGCCCCGATTTTGCAGGGTTTAGGCCGGGTGGTTTGGGGTTTTAGGCCATATTTTTCAGGGTTTAGCCAAAATTTTGTGGGGGTTCAGCCCAGATTTTGCAGGTTTTCTCTCATATATTTTGGGTTTTAGGCCATATTTTGAGGGCTTACGCACGGATTTTGTGGGGTTTTAGCCCAGATTTTTCAGGGTTTAAGCCCAGATTGCGCAGGATTTTAGCCCAGACTTTGCAGGGTTTAGCCCGGATTTTGAGGGTTCTAGCCCAGATCTTGTGGGATCTCAGGGATTTTGCGGGGTTTAGGCCAGGTTTTGAGGCTTTAAGCCCAGGTTTTGAGTGGTTAAGCCCAGATTTTGCGGGGTTTTAGCCCAGACTTGCCCTGGCTTCCCTGGGTTTGGGGGAGCCGGGGACGGCGAGGAAGGGGCGGCTTCCCCCCGGCCCCAGCTCGTGCCACCCCCAAACCCTAAAACCCCTAAAAAAAACCCTAAAAAAACCCCAAAAACCCCAAAACTCCAGCCCCACAAAGTTTCCTCCTCACCCTAAACCCCGCTCGCGTTTATTTTCCCCGCTCAACTCCCCGAGCAGACCCGGCCGCGCCGCTTTATTTTTATTTCCCTATTTAATCCCGCTTTACGATCACCGATATTTCACCGCCGGGCGAAACCTTTTAATTAAAACCGATCCTAACAAGCCAAACCCGAATAAAAAGCCCGCCGCAAACTGCGCGAAATTATTGTTTTTATGGCGCCATAAAAACCCCATCCTACCGAGGTGCCGAGGAGGAGGGGAAGGGCCATAAAACCCTCCAAGTTTATTTAATTTATCCCCCCCTTCCCCAGCGCCAGCCGTAAAAAAACTTACCACTGTGCGAGTTCATGCGCTGCATCCAGGGGTAGATCTGGATGCCGGATTTCTGCTCCTGAGCCGCGCCGCGGCTCTGCTCGCTGGGGAAATCCTGCGCGATGGAGTTGGGGGTGCCGTGCGCCCCGACCGAGCTCTGCCGGCAGCTGCTCAGCACCTCCTTGTCCTGGTAGAAGGCGTTGGAGCCGTACTCGTAGGGCGAGCGGCCCGAGCCGAACACCACCGGGTTGTCCTGGGGCGAGTAGAAGGGCGACGAGTAAATCCGGTTCTGCGCCACGGCCGCGCCGTAGCCGCCGAAATGCCGCACGGGGTCGTAGCTGGAGTTGAGCGCGGCCACGTTGGGCAGCACGTCCTGGCCGCCGCCGAGGTGGCACGGCAGGGACGCGTTGCTGAAGTAGGAATTCATCGCCGCTCCGCGCTCGGCCGCGGGCTCGGCGCGCCCTCCGCGCTGCGGCCGCGTTGAAGTGGAATTCCTTCTCCAGCTCCAGCGTCTGGTACCGCGAATAAATCTGGCGGCCCCGCCGGCGGTCGGCCCCGTAGCCGACTCCTAAAGAAGCCGAGACAAAACAGACTAAAACTCGTCAGAACGCAGCGCCCTCCGCTCGCCCTGCCCCTCCCCCGCCCGGCAAAAACCAATAAAAAATGAAATTAAAGCGCTCCGAGTCCCCGCGGGGTTCCGCCGTGCGCGCTGGGGTTACACCCGGGGTTACACCCGGGGTTACACCCGGGGTTACACCCGGGGTTACCGCGGCTGCGGGGGCTCAGAAGGGGCTTGGAGGGGTTAGGCCGGGCTTGGGGGGTCGGGGGTGCGTTTTGAGGGGGTTTAGGCCGGGTTTTGCAGGGGGTTAGCTTCGGTTTTGAGGGGTTTAGCTCTCTTTTCGAGGGGTTTGGCTTCGGTTTTGAGGGGTTTGGCTTCGGTTTTGAGGGGTTTGGCTCTGATTTCGAGGGGTTTAGCTTCGATTTTGAAGGGTTTAGCTTTGATTTCGTGGGGCTCAGCTTTGATTTTGAGGGGTTTGGCTTCGGTTTTGAGGGGTTTCTCTTTGATTTTGAGGGGTTTAGCTTCGATTTTGAGGAGTTTAACCCGGGTTTTGGTAGGAATTCATCGCCGCTCCGCGCTCGGCCGCGGGCTCGGCGCGCCCTCCGCGCTGCGGCCGCGGGCTCGGCCGGGCGCCTGGCCGCGACCGCGACGCGCGCTCCGGGGGCTCCGCTGCTGCTTCTTTAAAGAATGTTCCCTCTAGCTTTGCCCTATTTTTTCTCTATTTTTTCCTATTTTTTCCTATTTTTTCTCTATTTTTTCCCTATTTTTTCTCTATTTTTTCCTATTTTTCCTCTATTTTTTCCTATTTTTCCTCTATTTTTTCCCAATTTTTTCTCTATTTTTTCCTATTTTTCTCTATTTTTCCTATATTTCCTCTATTTTTCCTATTTTTCCTCTATTTCTCCTTTATTTCCTCTATTTCTCCTTTATTTCCTCTATTTCTCCTCAATTTCTCCTCTATTTCTCCTCAATTTCTCCTCTATTTTTCCTCTATTATTCCTCTATGCTTCCTCTATTTTTTCTCTATTTTTCCCTTTCTTGCCTCTATTTTCCCCCTTTCTCCTCTAATTTCCCCTTTTTCTCTGTTTATTCCTCTATTTTTCTCCTTGATTCCTCTACTTCCTTCTCTTATTCCTTTAGTTTTCTTCTTAGTTCCTCTATTTTTCTTCTCTTATTCCCCTATTTTTCCTCTTTTCTTCCTCTGTTTTGCCTCTCTTATTCCTTTATTCTGCCTCTTTATTCCTCTATTTTGCCTCTTTTATTCCTCTATTTCTTCCTCTATTTCCCCTCTATTATTTCCTCTATTATTTCCTTTATTATTTCCTCTATTCCCCCTCTATTATTTCCTCTATTTCCTCCCTATTTTTGCTCTCTATTTCCCCTTGACCTCTTTCTCTTCTATTTTCTCCTCTATTTTCCCCTCTGTTTTTTCTCTCTGATTTTCCTCTATTTCCTCTCTATTTTTCCTCTCTTTCCCTTTATTCCTCCCTCTAGTTCTCCCTCTCTGCTTCCCCCTCTCTCCCCCCTCGCCCACAATTAATTAATTAATATATATATATTTATTTTATTATTTTTTCCAGTCCTCCCCTCCTTCCTCTCCCTCTCTCTCTCTCCTTTTTTCCCGGCGCCACCTGGGCCCGTGCGATTTCTTTTAATATTTATTTCAGTCTCCAGTTTGTAGTGGGAAGTGTAGGATTGTTATAGGGAAGGCTCTGCTCCAGGACAGACAGAATGACACAGTCAGCTGACCCGGCCCGGGCCAATGGCGAGCCGCGTGTCAAAAAGGGGAAAAATGGCTTTTTTCTGCTCGCCAGTCCCTAGTTGAAACTAAGTGGGCATGGAAAGTAAGTCCGGCACCCCCCAAAAAATAAAAACCCCCCCAGGGGGTTTGGGGCGGCGGGGAGGGGGCGGGGAGGGGGCTCACGGGCGCCTCAAATCCCTAAAATTCCATTTTTTTTAACCCACCTTACTCCCTTTTATTTCCCCCCCCCACCTTCCTCTTCTTTATTTTGCTCAGATTCGCCAAAAAAAAAAAAAAAATTATCCTTACCTCTATTTTTTCAGCGGTGCTAAATGCTCAACGCTCTTTTGTATTCTCTTTTATTATGATTTTTTTAAAATGTTTATCATAATTATTATTCTTTCCAAGAAAGCTGCGCTTAAATATCTCCTAAAGAAGCGGCTGCGAATTCCCAGCAATAAATCTCAGGCGAACACAGAATATTAAGCCATAAATTACCCTCACTCTCCCTCTTTTTTTTTCAATATTTTTCTTTTCTTTTCTTTTTATTTAATTTATTTATTTTTAATTTTTAAATTTTTTAATTTGTTTTGGTTTTTTTTTCTCCTCCTTTTCTCCCCTCTTTCTCCCGCTCTGAGTATTTGCATTTAAACGGCAAAAAGGGGGAAATAATTCAATTTTAAAGGGAGGAAAAAATAAAAAAAGGGGGAAAAGGGGGGGGATAAACATGGCGACCTCTCCATGGATAACGCGGGATCGGGAGCGCTCCCAAACTCCTGCGAAAGGGCAAAAATTTGGGCAAAAAAAGGCGTTTTTTAGGGAAAAAACCCCAACCCCCCGCCGGGCTGGGAGCTGGGATTTGCCCTCCACTTTGGGGAGATTTCTCCGGATTTTGGGCCATTTCTGGACGTGCCCAGAAAGGAAAAGCGGCAGAAAAAAAGGCGGAAAAAAAGCGAATTTGGGCCGGGGAGGAGCGGCCCGGGCTCGGAGTTTCCGGCGGCTCCCGAAGTTTTCTCGGGAATTTTCCCCGTTCCCACCCAAACCCCCGAAACCGCCCCAAAATCAGCCCCTACCTGAGTCCGGGGCTTCGCAGCAAATCCCCCAAAATTCCGATTTTTGCCGGGGGAGCCCTCGGCCTCCTCCTCCTCCTCCTCCTCCTCCTCCTCTTTTTTGTTGTTAAACCACCTCGGTTTTATTGGGGAAAAAAATCCCAAAAATCGCCGGGAAAGCGTCGGAAATCCACCCCGAGCTCGGGTTTTATTTTGAATTTTTGGGGATTTTTTTATTTTTGAGGATTTTTGGCCGACAAAGCGAAGCCCCGGGGGGGTTTGGGGGCATATTCGGCCCCCCCAGCTATGACGGGAGCCCGGATGCCAGCGGATTTTATGCTCTTTTTCCTCTGGCTAACAAAGCAAAGTCATCAATGGTAGCAATAAAACCATAAACGGGACCGCAACTGGAAAAAAAACCACAAAAACACCAAAAAAAACCCCACAAAAAACACCCAAACCCCAACCAGACCCAGCCCGGAGGCAGCAGAAAGGGGGAAAAAAAATCCCAATTTTTGGCCCCAAAAGTGGCGGCTGGGGGGGAGCTCGCACCCCACTCCTTGGGGAGGAATTCCGGGCGTTTTCCCCCAAAATTCCCAATTTTCCGCTGCTTTTTTCTCCCCCCGGCTTCCCCAAATCCCCCCAGGAAATTGGGAATTTTGGGGGGATTTTGCTGCTTTGTTCTGATTGCCCAACCCCGGGGGGGTCTGGGGGAGTCAGGGACCCCAAAATTGGGGATTTTTGGGGAATTTTGGGATCTCCCGAGGCCGGGCTGGGGGCGAGGGGCGCCAGGGCCACAACTCTGGAGGAGTTGCCACCAAAAAACTTCTCCTTCCGGAGCCTCCTTTTCCCTTTCATCCCCAAATTTTCATTTTCCCTGATTTTTCCTCTCCTTGCTGCTCCTTCCCCTTCATTTTTCCGCTTTATTTTGCTTTTTTCCCCCTTTTTTCCTCTTTTTTCCCCCTTTTTTCTATTTTTTAACCCCTTTTTTTTTTTGCTTTTTTGGCTTCTTTTCGCCCTTTTAAATTCCGATTTATATTTCAATTTGATTTTTTCCATTTTTCTTTTTCTTTTTCCTGCTGTTTTCCCTTTCCAAGGTGGGCTGGAGACCTGCGGGACGAGCGTGGGACCGCGAGCCGGGGGAAGTTTAAGTGTTTTATGACTTCTCTAAACAGAGGGCAAGTCCTAAAAGTCCGCTCGATTTATAGACAGCAGAAAGCAGCTGCCGGAAAAAAACCCCAAAACACATCCACCCGCCAAACACCGATTTTTTTAGGGCAAAAAACTCCCAAAAAACACCAGGAATTAAAAAATAAATACAGCAAAAAAAAACCCCATCGGTGAAACCCCGCAAAAATCTGAATTTTAATTGAATTTTTGACGTTTCCCACCAGTTTTTGGGCGGATTTTTGGGCTTTTTACCCCCATTAAAAAAAAGATATTTTGATTTTTTTGTTGCCAAAAAAGCACGCGGCGAGGGGAGGGGGGGATTTGTGGGGAGATTTCTGGCGGAATTGGGTCTGCAAACAATTAAGGGAACTCATCAGCAGAAGCAAGAACAGATGTTTTATTAAAAGTGCGACACAGCGCTGGAAATATGGACAAGTCCTGCAGCAGTTGCTCTTTGTTCCCGGAAAAAAATCCCAAAAAAAGCCAAAATCCCCAATTTTTCCCCATTCCCACTCTCACATTCCCATTTTTTAAAAATTGTTATTTTTTCACCCGCCCCAGCGGCGCTCGCGGGGTGAAAAAAAGGGGGGAAAAATAACGATAAAAAGGGGAAAAAATCTCCCCAAAATTTAAAATTTCTCCCCCCCGGCTCGCAGCGCTGCTGAGCTGATTTAGGGCGGGGGGAGTTTGGCTCCCAAATCCCAAATCCGCCCCAAATCCGGGGGGCCGGGGCTGCGAAAGCCCCAAATCCGCAGCAATTGGGGGCCAAGCCCGGCCCTGTCCCCCCGCCCTCCCCGCGGCCGCGCCGAGCGGCCCCAAAGCCGCCAAGTTCGGGCCTTTTGGGGCTTTTTTGGGCTTTTTTGGGCTTTTTTCAGCATTTGGGGTCAATCCCGGGGGGAGGGGCTGAGGACGCGCCCCCCCCCCCCAAAAATCCGAATATGGGGAGGTTTTGGGGTGGAAAATGGGGATTTTGGGGTGGAAAATGGGGATTTTGGGGTGGAAAACGGGGATTTCGGGGTGGAAAATGGGGATTTCGGGGTGGGAAATGGGGATTTCGGGGTGGAAAACGGGGATTTCGGGGTGAACTTCGGGGATTTTGGGGTGAAATTGGGGGATTTGGGGGCAGCGCCCCCCCCGCGGCCGCGCTGCGGCTGCGCCGCGCGGAGGCTCCGCGGGGCCACCAAAACCTTTGATTTACTCCCAATTTTCCTTTTTTCCCCGCTTTTCTCCCCAGTCTCGGCTCCTTCCTCTCCTTTTCCCTTTTTCCCTTTTTCCCCCCCTTCTTGTTTTTCATTTTTTCTCCATTTTTCTCGCCTTTATTTTGACGTTTATGGCGCACGTGAGCCTCTCATTTATTTATTTTCCCTTTCTTTTTTTTCCTGCTGAAATCTCCTTTCATTTGGGTGAAAATCTCCCTTTTTTTGGGTGAAAATCTCCTTTTTTTCCCTGTTTTCCCAAAATCCATCAAATCCGGGGAGCAGCGCCCCCCCCAAAAAGGGGGGGAAAGGGAAAAACCCCAAATTCCAGGAGGAAAATCGGATTTTTGGACCCCCCCGCCCAGCCTGGAGGGGCCGCGGGGTTTTGGGGTGAAAACCTCGGGGTTTGGGCAGCTCTCAATTCATTAATTCTAATTAATAAATTGCTGGGATTCCCCTTTCCCCGGAATTTTGGAGTTTGGGGGTTTTTTTTGGTTTAAAGTTGGATTTTGGCGCCGCGTGGGGAGGGGCCGGCCTGGCTTTGCTCACTGAAAAAATCCAATTTTTACCCCAAAATCCCACCTAGAAAGGAATTTATTTTACAAAAAAAAAATCACATTTCTCCTTGAGAAAATCTCAATTCAAGCCCCTCTCGCTGATTTAATTTAAT